TAAAATAATATTGTGCATCCTATCTGATCACCATGGATTAAAGCTGGATATCAACTACAATAGAAAAATAAGAAAATATATAAACTCATGGAAGCTGAACAACTCACTACTGATGAAAAATTGATCAAGTCATAAATCAAGAAGGAAAAAACAAACTCTCTAGAATTAGGAAGGAAAATGAAAATCTAACATACCCAGACTTATAGGATACAATGGAGGCAGTACAAAGAGGCAATTAACCAAACTGGAAACGCTAAAATTATGAATTTCTTAATATATATGACCTACTAAACAATTCTTCTTCAAGTTCACAGAAGTTGAAAACACAATCTTCAACTTCATTTGGAAACACAAAATACTCAGGATAACCAAAACCTAAATAATAAAAGACCCGCTGGAGGAACCACCATCCTAGATTGTAAGCAGTACTGCAAAGATACAGTAATAAAAACAGAAGGGTACTGGCATAAAACAGACACAGCCATTGATGGGATAAAATTAAACACCCAGATATAGATCCTCAGATCTATGCACACCTCATTTTTGACAAAGAAGCCAAAACTACACACTGGAGAAAAGACAGTATCTTCAATAAATGGTGCTGGATGACTTCATATAGAAAGAAACCAAATAGATCCATATGTATCTCCCTGCACAAAACTCAACTCTAAATGGATCAAGGACCTCCACATAAGACCAGATACCCTGAGTCCGACAGAAGACAATGTGTGGAATAGGCTTGAAACCATTGGCATAGAGAAATAAGTTTCTAAACAGGACACCAATACCACAAACACTAAGAACAACAATTAGTAAATGGGACCTCACAAAACTGAAAAGCTTCCGTATGGCAAAGGATACCATCATTCAGGCAAAGTAGCAGCCCACAGACTGGGAAAAGATATTCCCAATTTCACATCTGATAAAGTATATAAAACGTATACAGTATAGTATATAAAATGCATAAAGGATTAAAAGCACTGAAAACCAAGAAAACAAGTAATCCAGTTACAAATAGGGCATAGAACTAAGCGGAGAGTTCTCAAAAGATGAACCACAAGTGACTGAGAAACAATTAAATGTTCAATATCCTTAGTCATCATGGGAATGGCAAATTAAAAATACTTTGAGACTTCATCTTATCCCTGTCAGAATGGCCAAGATCAATAAGACAAATGACAGCTCTTGCTGGCTAGGATGCAGTGAAAGGGGAATGCTTATTCATTGCTGATCAGAGTGCAAACTTGTACAGCCACTATGAAAATCAATGTGGTGGTTCCTCAGAAAGCTGGGAATCAATCTACCTCAAGTCCAGCTATACCACTCTTGGGCATATACCCAAAGGACTCTACATCCTACCAGAGATACACTTGCTCATCCATGTTCATTACTGCTCTAGTCCTAATAACCAGAAACTTGAAACTGCCTAGATGATCATTAACTGATGCGTGAAAATGTGGTAAATTTACACTACTGTTAAAAAGTGAAATTCACAGGTAAATCGATGGAGTAAGAAAAAAACATTCTGAACGAGGTAATCCAGACCATAATCCCCAAATATTGTATGTTTTCTCTTCCATGTAGATATTGGCGTCTGAGCCTTTGTTGTGCATGATATAATCAGAATAGCCACTGAGGTTAGGCACCTAGTAAGGGACTGCGTAAGGAGAGGCTCTTCCAAGAAAAGACAAATGGGTTATAGTGTTATGGGTAGACAAAGGAGAAACTGCAATGGGATGATTTTTAAATGGGAGAGAAAAGTAAAGGAAGGAATATTTGGAGGGATAACTAACACTAAAAATCTTTTGACAAACTGGTGCCACCAAGACGTTTCACCCCTACCGGCTAGCATTCATGGTTCTGGAAGGTACTGGGTATACTACACAGGGAGAAAGATAACAACTGGTATCACCTAACTACAAACTCAGTGACCTCTAACAGCTTCCTGCTACTGACACCATAATGGCATAATATTATAGGAGAATCAACCAATTTTTGATTGAACTTAAGACTCACTCCAGGAGATGGAACCCATATCTGACACTGCTAAAGTTTCCAAGAACCTAAGAATATGTAGGTCACAAGGCTAGGGAAACCTGCTATTCTGCTAAAGGAACATATCAGTAAAAGGACTGGCTCCCAATGACATACAACTCTCCTCATAGATCAGTGCCTCACTCAACCCACATCAGAGAAGCTTCTTCTTATGGTACATAAGAATTAACACCGAAACCCAAAGATGGACAACTAGCAGAGAGTGAGAGATTTAGAGCACTAACTCAGAAATGGAATTTTTTAATTGAATCCTTCCCTTCCTGGCTCAGAAAGTTGTGTAGAAGAGGAGGCAGAAAGATTTGAAGAGCCAGAAGTAATGGATGACTCCAAGGAAATAGAGTCTTACAAATATAATAGGACTGATGCACGTATGAACTCAGAGATTGGCAACACAAACAAGCCCAATAAAGATTCAAGCCAGACACAGTCCCCACAGATTCAAGCCAGCACTGAGAGGGGGAATTGAACATGGGCTACCACCCTAGCCAAGAAGGTGTTTGTAACTGATACCTGTTGGCAAAGGAAAAACCAGTTTTCTTCAATGGATTCTCTCTAGGTAAATCAACCACAATTCAGGGTAGGCACCATGCCTAGGATTGATTGGCCAATATAAAACAAACTCAGTGGTATGTTTGTGGACTTTAGTTTCATTCTGCTTTGTTTTGGCTTTTGTTTTCTGGCTTATTGGTTGTGGTGGTTTGAATGAGAATAGCTCCTGTCATTGGTTCATATGTTTAAATGCTTGGTACCCAGTTAATGGAACTGTTCATGATTAGAAAATGTGGCCTTGTTGGAGGAAGTATGTCATGGAGTGGACTTTGAGGTTTCAAAAGCCCATGCCATGCTCAGCTCCCCCTCCTCTCTCTCTTTGCCTGCTGGCTACAAATAAGAATGTAAAGCTCTCACCTAGTGCTCTAGTGCCATGCCTGTCTGCTTCCTGCCATGGTGATCCTTTCATTTATAAGTGTTGCCTTGATCATGGTGTCTCTTCCCAGTAATAGAACAGTAACTAAGACAGAAGTTGGTATAAGAAACTGGGGCATTGCTGTGACAGGTCTGGCCATGCTATTGTGTGGAAGAATATGGAAGACTTTGGGACTTTGAACTGGAAAAGCAGTTGAAAGCTTTGAGCATGGCTAGTAGGAGCCTAGAAGACAGTAATGCTAAGGGCAATTTGAAATATGCAGACTCTGCTCAAGATGTTTCAGAGGGAAAGAATATTAGCAAGTAGCCTTTAGCCCTTCTTGTAATGTTTTGGCAAAGAATGTGGCTCCTTTTTGCCCTTGTCTGAAAAATCTACCTGAGGCTAAATCGAAGAGTTTTGAATTAATGCCATTGGTAGAGGAGATTTCAGGACAGCCTGCTATTAACTGTGTCACATGGTTATTAGTGATCACTCTTAAGATGATCAATAATGAAAAGTAGCAAGCAGGGCAAAGAGAAATATAAAATATACAGTCTGAGGAGAAAAGGGACACCAGAAAATGTAGTGGTAGACTCAAGTCTTGTACTCAAGGAGATGAGAAGCTTTAAGAAAAGCCTAAGGCTAGATCAAATGCAGGAAGATGGTACAGGACAAAATCCCAGGAGCTACTCCTGTGAAACGAAAGGCCTGAGGGATTTTCTGGGCCTGAACAACAGAAAGCTTACAGAAATGTAATTCTAGGAGGCAGCCAGTTTCCAGCCCCAGCAAGTGGCAGAATGTGGCAGCACTGGCCATATGGTTCTGGCTTCAGAGTCAAGAAGGATAAAAGGAAGGGATTGTGGATTTCTTCCTTCTGGTTTTGGAAAGCCTGGGAAGCCAGGCAACAAGGCAGGGGATATCCCAGCATGTATGCCAGGAGAGGCCATAGTGTGAAGGTGTGAAAGTAAAGGCTGGATTATGTTAGAAACTCCACGACATTGTAGATGCCAGAGCCTTGGTTTACCTGCCAGACAGGTAGAGAGAGAGAAAATTCTGTTGCAATCAACAAAGCTGGAAGTAATTGGAGATCTGAATAGCTCTTTGACATTGGACATAGAGATGCAGACTGTGGGGTTTGCCCTTCGGGGTATTTCCTCACTGTGCCCCCTTCCCACGCCTTTGGGGTGTTGATGGATATTCTGTGACATTGTACATTGAAAGCATGTGATCTGATTTTTGATTGTGATTTTACAGAGGGTGACAGTTAAGAGATTGCCACAAGTCTCAGAAGAGGCTTTTAAACTTTGAATCTTTTAAGACTAAAAGATTATGGAGGGTTTTTTGACATTGGACTGAATGCAGTGTTTGCTTTGTGATATAGCTACAAACCTATAGGAGCCAGGGAGTGTTTGAAGGTCTGATTCCCGTGCTGGCCTCCCAGACAGCAGTCTGGGGTCCACGTGCACAGAGCATGCTAGTTTAAGGGCAGAATTTCAATGAAAATATATTAAACACACTTGGGGGGGTGCTTAGCTCAAAGTCACGGAGGGAGTTTGTGCAAAATCACACCGATGGCCAGAAATGCCGCTGGGCATGCTCAGCTTGCACCACTGAGTTTTACCTGAAAAATAAGAGGCTTTGAAGGTGGGTGAGCACAGGAGCCTGTTCCTAAGGTGCCTGCTCTCTTAGTCGCTCATAGCTGCATAGATAACCAACCTTTCCATCATGGGTACCGAGGCAGGACATTCTGGGTTGCTCTAATGCAGCTCCAAGTCAGAAATCAGGTCTTGTTTATGCCATCTGGGTGAAAAAGGAATTGCTCAGCTACTCTGAAATTGTATCAAGCTCTAGCTGTGTGCTTTTACATGTACATTTACATGTACATCTCGGTCTCAGTTTAATGTGTTTATTTGCATATGTTCATGACACAAGATCTCAAATTTCTAAGAAAAATATTTTACCTTTCTCCCCCCACCCTGCCCCTGCTTAGGAGATTAAGGAATTTCCAAACACATCCAACACAATCACATTCATTTCTTCAGCTACATCCTTAAGCACTAAATTAATACATGTTTTTCAGGTGTGAAAATGAAACCAAGTTCGATACAGAAGACCTCCACTGGGCTTACAGTTTCTGCCCCACCCCGTACTTCTGGGCGGCACTCCTGGGCCTGATCTTATATCTCATTTTCTTTGCACCTGGTGAGTGGACCCTTTGGTTACTTTTGCACAGCATTGACCTCTCTAAGAAGAGGCAGGCTACTATACTTCATTCCACAGGGGATTTTTACTGTAGTTTTAATTATTTACTTCTCAGGTATGGGACCAATGCCCTGGACGGTGAATTCTGAAATCTATCCTCTCTGGGCAAGAAGTACAGGAAATGCATGCTCAGCAGGAATAAACTGGATTTTCAACGTCCTGATTTCACTGACCTTTTTACACACAGCAGAGTATCTCACATACTATGGTAAGGGCATGTGTTTTCAGTGTTCTCTCATTGTTACTTTTGATGCTCTGCCCTTAGGTACCCTGTAATTTGTAAGAGAGGCTGTGTCCTTCTATTTTGACTCTTCCTGAATATCTCTGTAGCTTTCACCAGGGGTCCTGGGAAATGTGTCTGAGAGAAGAGTTCTCTTTTCCTAAGTGTATTGTCTGCAAGTTCTTATGTGTATCCCCCACATTTCAAACCCCAGATACCCACCCCATACCAGCCAGGAAGGAAATCCTTACAGCACAGCTTTCAGCTTAACAAGGAAGCAAGGAGAAAATGCTGAGACCGTGAAGACAAGATTGATGAGATGCCCTGTGGGAGGGAAGGATCTCCACACCTAAGCAGCATTAGGGTGGGCCTGAAATTAGCTCACTCTTTTGGGATACTGTGCCACTGAAGGGTCTGTTCCAGCCAAGACACCTTGGAGCCCAGCACTTACCACTTCCAGTAATAAGGACATGACAAAAACCTCCCAAAAAATGAAAACTTGGAACATCTAAAATAGTGGTTCTCAGCCTGTGGGTTGTGGCCATCAGAAGGCACATATTTCAGGTGGTCTCAGGAACCCCCAACCATAACTTTATTTTCACTGCTACTTCATAACTGTAATTTTACTACTGAGCCATGTCACAGTTCCCAAGACCATTGGAACTATGTGTTTTCCAATGGTGATGACCAACAGGTTAAGAAACACTGATCTAGAAAAATTTGTTTTCCTGGGAAGGAAATCCGTGGTGAGACATGATAAGCTGTTGGTGTGTTTAGAATATTCAGCTTTTTCTCTTTTAACGACTAAAAATGTTTCCATAAACTCATGAGCTTGTTTTGATGACATGATGATAGATGTTACTTGGCATTGCTGACTCTTGAGAATGCTTCAATACTTGAAGATATATATAATATATATATATATATATATATATATATATATATATAATATATATATATATATATATATATATATATATATATATCCCAAGAAGCATTGTTTTGTCTTTTTAATAGAGATTTACATAATAAAAATCCATTGAGTAAAATTCTGATTTGCAAAGTACTCTTTTGGGATGAAGAGAAGTAGGAGGCATCAGTGGGTACCAGGCTATTCTTGTCAGTGCTTTTACATAGTATGCATTTGCATATACCACATGGGCTGATGGAGCTATGGGAACAAATAGGTACTGTAAGGAAAGGCATGGGCAGCAAAGTATGCTTTAGTTATGACCTGTGTCAGCTTTGTCAGGAGTATGCAGGGAGAAGCCAGGCTTCATTCTACTAACAGTGGGGACATGTGTCCAGTCTAGTTAGACTTTTGGTCTAATGTTTTAATCTACATGATATGATTTGTAAGCATGTGTTTTTATATTCCTGATGAATAAGTCTGTGTCCTGGTGTTATATTTCCCTGGGAATATCCATATCCTCTTTCATGTCATGCCATTTTGTTTGTTTGTTTGTTTGTTTGTTTTTGTTTTTGTGAGATAGGGTTTCTCTGTGTAACAGCCCTGACTGTCCCGGAACTCATTTTGTAGACCATGTTGGCCTCGAACTCACAGAGGTCCACCTTCCTCTGCCTCCCTCATGCTGGGATTAAAGCCTTTCCTGCTTTTACAAAATCGTTTCATAATATCTCAAACTTTTCTTCTTTCCTAAGTGTCACTACTTAGGGAGACTTGCATTGCAGGTTGTTCAGTGAAATCCATTGCTAAAAACAACCAATGCATCACAAACCCAGCACCTGTACACATGTGTGGCTAACAGATCTCGGAGTGAGCAGTATTTTAAAGTTACTCAGTATAGAAGTACTGAAATTGAAATGTAGACATTGGTTGTTATTGTGTATGTACTAAATATTTGTTTTAATCTGGTATTTAAGAGTGGCTTCCAATAATATTTCTCTCAAAAAAATGCTGAGGAATCTCTTTGAATTAACCTCAGTCTCATGGAAGGCTGTGTTTTTTTCATTGTCATTCCAAGGAGAAATAGTGAAGCAAGTGGTTGGTAGTCTACTCCCTGACAGCTTAACCCTGGGCCTCACCAGAAGCGCCCAAGTCACAGCCAGTCTTCATGTTTTGGTGTCCTCGGTTTGTTGGGTTTTCTGTTCAGTGGAATTTCCTGGTTTGCCACTGGGGATTTGTAGTTCATGGAGGAAACTGGTTTTGGTGGCATTTGTTTCTTGGTGTGTTTTGTATTTTAGAGACATGGTTTCATTTCCCCCAGGTTGGCCTTGAAGTTTGTGTAGTGAGGGTGACTTTGAACTTCTGATCTTCATACTTCTACTTCCAGAGTAGGTGCCACCATGCCTGGTTCAAATGGTGCTGGGGTTGAACCCATGGCTTGAAGAATCCTAGGCTAGCACCCCACAAAGTGACTTACATCTGAGCCCAAGAACCCATTGTCCATGAAGGTGTTCCTCATCCACCCAAGTAGCTACAGCCCTTGGTATAGACAGGTTTTGTTACTTCTTGTTAGGCTGCTATTGCACTTAGTGGAGACAGTGAGGAAGAAAAGGATTCCATTTCTATTGCTACTGCAAAACACAGGCCTTCCTTCCTCCCTCCCTTCCTGCTTTCCTTTCTTTCTTTATTTTTCTCTTTATGTTACCCTTCTCTTTTTATAGCCAAAATTCTTGCACTTTCCAAGGGTCAGCCTGTCAGTAATGGCCTTGTCATGAAAACAGCCCAGTTCATTAGTTGTGCTAATTTTATTTGATCTTTACAAGCAGCCTGTCCCTGGTCAGTTGCCAGAATTGGAGAATATTACCATATTTTTATTCAATGTATCAAGTGTATAGGGGCATATGTGCCACATTTCATGTGGGGTCAGAGGACTTTGTGGAGTTGGTTCTTCCCACCTGTGCCTGTGTTCCAAGGATCCAACTGAGATCACAGGCTTTCATACCTACTATCTGCCCTGACTACCTTCCATGCCTCTGAGAACCCGTTGGTTATTATAATACTAAAGAGAGTGCTGAGAAAACATCTGGGACACAGCAAGTCCCCTCAGCCTGGGATCTGAGGAAGACTTCTGAGAAAAACTTGCCTCTGAGCCTGGTCTGTTCTTCTTCAGTTTGCTGACATGGTTTGAGTTTTGAAAGATTAATTGCATTATGTTCACAGGACTGGAACAACCAGGTAAGGCAGGCTAGCAGATACGCTTTGGTTACATTTCATACTGTAGCTATGTTCAAGTCAGAATCTAGACTCTCCACCCAGGGCTGCTCATTGTGTCCTTTCCCCTGCAGGAGCATTCTTCCTCTACACCAGCTTTGCAGCCATGGGACTGGTTTTCGTCTATGGCTGTCTTCCTGAAACGAAAGGGAAAAAGCTGGAGGAAATTGAATCTCTCTTTGACAACAGACTATGTACATGTGGCGCTACTGACTCCGATGAAGGCAGATACATTGAATACATCCGGGTGAAGGGAAGTAACTACCATCTCTCAGACAACGATGCTTCTGATGTGGAGTAATTTCCAGCTGGTGACATTTTCATTCCTGAATTGAATGTGGGAGAAGGCCAGCACTTAGTCACTGCCCTGCTCGCAAGCCAAGTCTCCCCACAGTCCTTCCGAATGTCTCCATATTCTAGAAGACTTGACAATGAGAAAAATACAATCATGGTGATGTTTATTTTCATAAACAGAAATGCTTAAAAAAAAACCCACAGAGTTTTCTTAAAGCAAATGTGTATAATCCCTTCTAGAGATGGTCTAAACAGTACTGTTGTACACAGTAACTTCAGTAGGACCCCTTTCACCTAAGACCATATACAATTATTAGTAGCAATACAGTCAGTGATAATCTAGGCAGATTATATATGTATATTTATAAAGTATTATTTAAGATGACCTAAAGGTATTTAATACCAAAACATAGCCCATTGACCCTAAATTTTCATACTAAGTAGTGGCTTTTCTATGGTACAAAGTGAATTTCATCTAAACTTCCATCCACAAATTTAGAAGACCTATAAGGACACAGCTGTCCCTCTCTCCTTTGGATTCCAGATGTTGGCTTCTGTCTCCAACACAGATACACTAATTTCTTCAGAGACTGAATACACAGGATCTTTTGAACACTATCCAAAGCAGGCCCGTTGAGGGTTATTTTCATACTTTTTTGCATTGGTGATGAGTATATTTGCACAGATAAGCTAGCATGTTTTGATAAGTATATTTTATTGTCAAAGTGAGAAAGAACAGATTTTTATATATCCTCATCTGTTTGTTGCAATTGTCTGCACAATTGGAATGCAATTGTACATGTAAAGTAGTGTCAGGTTGTCAACTGTATTCCAGGGTCAGTTTAATGCACACCAGACTCTCCACATTGTCACTTCTAGGCTCCTGCTGCTCTGTGCCTTCCTTGGTGTTCACTGACAGCTGCTGGCAGACTGGTTTTCTCTTTCTGATGCACAAGAGGAAGAAAGTCAGTGGCAGAAACAGTTATTAACATTTAACTTAAACCCTAGGATTCTTTCTCCACATATTATTGGCTCTTCCTAAGGACAGGAGCACACCTCAATACTGATTACTGTGTTTTCCCCTGAGAAAATGCAAGCTACTTTTAATTCTGTCTTTTCTCATTCCTAATAACTTGCTACATAACCAAAACTCAGAGCTGTGTCTGTTTCTTTATCTCATCCTTGGTTTGGTTTTCTGTCTACTCTAAAAACTGAGATTTCTGCTTTGGAAAAGACACAGATAGGTTATAATCCACAGTCAGTAAAAGAGGCTGACTTTACCTTTCCACACTATCTCTCAAAGTATTTGGTAGTTTCTATGTTCACCCAACACTGAATTCCTAGTTCTCACCACCCTACTAAGAGCTATGTGTGGTACAAACAAAATTCCTTGCTTACAAAACTCATTTGCTAGTTCTAAAGCTTGGATGAGTCTAATGACCAGTTAGGAACACATCAGTTTGATGTTTTACACAATGATCTAAACACCTAATTAAGTTCCATATCCAAGTGAATGGAGGGTAGTGATAAAATGGAGTATTTTGGCCAGTCTCCAAAATGCTTTTTCTTCTTTTAATGCCTGGCTTCTTCTTACCATAATTACCAAGCTGAGATGATAGCAAAGGAAGTTTATCCTCCAGGCACCACCAGAGGTACTTACACAGTCACTTTCGTGGCCTACATATCCTTCAGCCAAAAGAGGGAGTTCTCTCTGTTTGGTTGTTTAATGCTATTTTAAAAAAATAGTATAGTATTTTGAAAAATTTTTTTGTCAAATTAGGTGCTTTGAGATTTATTTATAGAGGATATTAGTACTAATTTTTCTCTAGAACAAGATATTATTTAATGGGAAGTATTATTTGATATTTATCTCTTAAGAAGTTTAACTCAATAGCATTTTACAAGATCAAATGAGCTATTATGTGGTATGGTTGGCATATTATGGGAAGAAAAATGAGTAAAGTAATCCTTTTAAAGTGTATTTTTCTGATTTGTTCAACTTGTTGCCTCAAATCTTCCCTTCATAGTCCACGTAGCCTTAGGTACACATGTGTCTGCAGCTGGCTGACACATGGGACACATGGGCTGAGACATGGGACACATATGACATAAAGGGACAGCTAGAGTCAATAGTCCTGAAAGCTGGGTGTGACCTGTTCTTGCTGACATAAGAACAAGTATGTTTTCAGCTTTCTGTGCATAAATTAATATAATAATGGGAAATTGTCCACATGTCTCTTGACCTGTACCCTTCTTCATTTCTAAAAATTATTTATATATTAATATTCCATACCTTTAACATACAAGACAGAACAGCACATATGACTTATTTATAACTTTTAAAAAGCAACTCAATACTTGAAAAGGAGCCTTCTATAATCCAGGTATGCTTTTTAGATTTGGTGAACATTTATAGCAAATTAAAAGTTCAAAGTTGGAATTTTCAGACTTTTATTCTATTAAACACCTTTTATGTTTCTAGTGTCAACTGCCAACTTGAAAACCACCCATGTGAAATCATCAAACATATATTTTGTAGGACAATTTCTATATGATATGATTTGACCTACCACATTAAAATAGACAGATTAAGCAGTGTGCTTGCCACTGCAATGATAGCTTTCTTTCCAAACATGCTGCAATTTCAATACCGGTGTGTTTCATTTGGGGAACACTGAGTGAAGAAGGTTGAGACCATACCTGCAACCTAGCTGGCTAATATGTAGGAGAATTAAGAATGCATCATTTGTCTACATGTAAGCACATACTGTTGAACGTGATTGTCAAAAAGATTTGGGGTTATGGGCTGTAGATACAGTTTAGTGGTAAAGTGCTGGCCTCAAAAGATTGGATGTTAATATTTTTCTTCCATGTAAACATCTGTAATAATTTTGATTATTACACCTACCTTAGTCATTGTCTAAAACATTGCTTTGAATATATATGAATATATATATATATGATATTTCCAGGAGAATGATAGCAGAATCTTTTAAATAATTTATCAGTGAAACACACTTTAGGATACATTCTTAATACTTGTTATTCACTCTAAAATGAGAGATCAGTAAAAGCACCAAATTTATGGATTTTTGCTCTAATTTTAGTATCTATTAAACGGGTGAAAGGCCAGGGAAAACAAATTGATAACTTGCCCATTTACTTTATACTAGCAAAGTATGGCTCAGAGGTTAAGAGCACTGACTGCTTTTCCAGGGGTCCTGAGTTCAATTCCCAGCAACCACATGGTGACTCACAACCATCCATCATGAGATCTGGTGCCCTCTTCTGGTGTGCAGATATACATAGAAGCAGAATGTTGTATACATAATAAATAAATAAAATCTTTTAAAAAATTATTATAAATCTTGGGGCAGGGTGAAGTGATGTTTTAGATAGTGTCACCCACAGGTTTTCTTTAATAGCTGAGTGCAATAACTTTTCAGTTGTCAACTTCAGACCATTTCCCTAACTAGGAACAAAAGAATTAGATGGTACAACCAGGCCCGGAGTAGAGGATTCCTGGTATACTCTCTCTAGAAAACTAGCCTACATCCTACCTTAAGCGGGAAAGTTATAGGTGAAATTCATAGTTCAAGAGTAGCCACTGCCTATACAAGACTCAAACCTGTTCTCTGGGCAGTTCTTCATGTCCTTCAGCCTGTCCATTTCTACCAGTACCAGTCATGCACAGGTTGGACAGTGTAGATATATTCAGTTCTCCAAGGTGAGCACCAGTGCTGCCACCTTCTGGGAACTTCGAGCAGTTGCAAATGCCAAACAGCTACTTGCTCCCTGCTTCCTTGTATGCTGTTTGGGGAAGGAAATAGTCATGTGCTAATCAATCATCATCAGAAATTCACTTTATAAGTATTCACGTTCGGAAATACCCAGAAGCATTTTTGTCATCATCATACTGTGCTTGTGAGTACAGAGCAGGATAATTCTCCAAATCTTCACGTGTGTACAGTTCAGTCGATAGCAATTGAGTAATTCGGTCAACAGAATTTTCAATGCCATCTTTTACAGATAATATTCACATTTTAGACAGGCTCATGGAGTTGATTTTGTCATATCCACATAAATAGGATAAGAAATGGACTGTGCAGATAATCAATATCCAAACCTATGAATCTCTACTTTACAAAGTTTTCAGATTTTGCCCAATTCAACATTATCCATTTCACTAAAATTTAGACAATATAATGTTAACTGTAGCCAAAGTAGAAATTTATGTCCTATATACATGTCCAGATTTTCTGGTGGCTCCTGTACTGTGTCTCTCTTGATGTTACAGTACCGTTTGTAATAAATGTTCTAATTTCTATTTAGGAACTCTAAATATACATCTCTATTAAATCGGAAGTTTCATGCTTTTAGAGGTGGACGTATTTTGAACTGTACATTTTAATTTTCAGAATGCATGTTATATACTGTTTAATACTTGACATATCTTGGCAAATCTAGTCTTTTCATTCCTACCTGTGACATACAGAGTATCTCTTGAAAACTGACACTGTCCCATTTACCAAATCATGCTAGCCTATGCTGTATCAAAAGTATGGTATATTTTATGGAGATTTAGTGATATACATGTAAATGTTTTTTAAGTTATTTTATTGAACTTCAATATTTACATAAAGTTATAATCTTTTTTTAAAGAAAGTGTCAGTGCCAGAGCTGTATAAGAAAATAATCAAATAAAGGTAAAGATAATTCATTCTCCCAGACTCTTAACTTCCTCACTTCTCATCTGAGATTTTAGTGTCTACATTACATAATGAACACACTGTGAGAACTGTGTGTAAACAAAATCTTTTTTAATAATTTTAATTTTATGTTTGTTTGCATGTAGATCTTTTGCTTTCATATGCATGGCTGGTGTTGGTGGAGACCAGAAGAGGGCATCAGCTCCCCTGGAAATGAAGTTCCCAGTGAGTGCTGGGAATTGCTTTGAAGAGCAACCATTGTTCTAAACCACTGAGCCATCTCCTTGACCCCCATACTGTCCTTTCTATTAGAGGGTTGAAAAGGGCAAGATCCATTAATGACAACAACAGCAATGTAAAGAAACTATTTGGCAGATCTTTAAGTTCCTGCAGGGTGAGCACTTGCTGAACTCAAGATCTGTGCTCAAGTTTCATTTCTCCTGGAAACTGCTTCTCTATATTAGCCAATCCCATAAGGCCATGCTGCCAGTGTAACCACTCAGAGGGCAGCACAGTGTATTAGGAATCAAAACTCAGTGGGACTCCCTCTGGGCGGACTTGCCTGCTTACTTAACCAAGTGTGGCTAAACACCTTTCTACAGAAGTACAACCCACACTTGGGCTGTGTGCTCATTTTCTTGAGACTACCCCAGACCCATTTATTGTAGCTCAGCACCTAACTTGGGCTTTTATGTCTCCTATCCCCAGAAGTGCAGGCTGCTGCTTTGTTTTGGCAACCCTGGTAATGAAGATAGCCCCTGATTCTAAACTCAGGGAAACACAAAAAGTAAATCAGTGGTGCAGAGAAAAGGGCCCAGTGCAAACCCTGCACCATGGTAATTTTGTACAAAAGCCAAGGTTTTAAAAAATAATGGACTGAAGAAAACTGCCCCTCCATTTCCAGTAGCTCCTCAGCCAGGGGTGGTATTTTGCACTCACCTTCTCCACCCTTCCATGATGAGATTTTGTCTAGCTTGAGCTTGCCCCTGTCTTCTGCATGCTGTCACAATTTCTGTACCTTGTGTCTAGAAAACACCATTTTCTTTTGTTGTTGTTTGTTGTTGTTGTTGACTTTTTGGGTTGTTTTGTTGTTTGGGGGAGGGGGTTGTTTGTTTTTCCAGGCAGGGTTTTTCTGTGTTGCCTTGGCTGTCCTGGAACTCCCTCTGTAGACCCAGCTGTCCTCAAACTCACAGAGATTCACCTGCCTCCACCTCTTGAGTGCTGGGATTAAAGGCAGAGAACACTACTTTCTTGAAGTCATCATCTGCCTCTGTCTCTTACAATCTTTCCTTATTTCTGAGCAGTTCCCTGAGCCTTGGTGGGGGATGTGATATTTAAGCCCCATTTAGGATTGACATCTGGTAGGCTTGCCACTCTGCAGGGCATGCCCTGCTCCTACAACATACACTGGACTGGATAGAAGGAGGATGGGAAGACTCAAAACTCAAAATTGGGTGAGTAGGGAGGGAAGGGGGGAGGTGTGAGAGGAGTTGGGTGTGAATCTGATCAAAAAACATTTTAAGAAATTCTCAGTTAACTGAAGAATATTTTAAGTACTACTAAGCACTCCTAAGTGCTACTAAGTGTTATTAAGTTAATAATAAGTCTGAAATAGACTATTGCTATCCATGAAATAGTGTGTTTTAATTGGATGAGGAAAAAATGTCCGGGCAGTTAATTCTCATTCTTTTCCTATTAACTTAATTATTAGGTATACATCATCAGAATAATATAAGACTCAGAAGCTATATAGGTATGGACATCTAATTTTTGGTAAAGTTGTCAAAAATGAATGCTGGGGGGAAAAGATAGTCTATTCAACAAATGGCGTTAGCAAAACTGGATTTCAATCTATAGAACAAAAACAAATCTGTATTTCTCACTCTGCACAATTCAAAATCAATCCGGTGTAAATCAAAGACCCTAATTTAAAACCTGAACCACTGACACTGTTAAGGGAAAACACAGAAATATTCCTGCAGGACACAGGTATAAGCAAGAACTTTCGGAATAGGATCCCAATAGCATGAGAAATAACACCAATAACTGGCAAATGAAATGTATTATATGAAATTCAAAACCTTCTGCACAGTGAACTATCAACAGAGTGAACAGACAGAAAACCATTGTCAGGTATACTTCATAAAAGGCATTAATATCTAGAAAATAGGAAATACTGTGAAAAAAAAGTCCAAACACAAGCCAATAAACAGGTCACCACTGAACACCCAGTTCTCCAAATAAGACAAATGGCCAGTAAACATTCTTTAAAAACATTTCAGTGTCCTTAGGCATCAAGGAAATGCAGTTTAAAACTACTTCCAGATTCCATCTCACCCCAGTTAGATTGGCTGTCATCAAGAAAACAATGACAACAAATGCTGGAGAGGATATAGAGAAATGGGGAAACTTATTCATTGTTGGTAGAAGTGCAAGCTGATGTAACACTGTAGAAATCAGGGCTGAGGCCTCCAAAAGTACTAAAATCAGAACTTCCATCTGGCCCTGTCACATTGCTCTTGGTAAAAGCCAAATCTTACCACCGAAACATTTGCACATTCTTGAATGATTATTGTTGGTCTTTCATCATACTAAGGACATGGCATCACCTAGATGTCAATAAATAGATGGGTGGACAAAGAAAGTGTGGTACATATACACTTTTATTCAACCACAAAGAAGAATGAAGTTATGAAATTTGCTAAGTAATGAATAGAACTGAAAAATATTGGATGATGTCAGATTAAGAAGTGGATCTTAACTGTTAGAGATGTATATTTATGCCAGAGTAATGTACTTACGAAGCAAAAAGACAGGAAAATTAAAAGGAGCTCATGACATAGGGAAAAGAGGCTTTAATGGAACGTAGTGGGCAAGGTAACAATGCATGTGGCCTGAGTGTCCCCAGGGCTAGACATAGATAAGCACAAGGAGAATGGGATGAGTGGGGATGGGAAGGAGCAAAGGTGGGGGAACCAACATATAATAGCCATTATAAAAAAGGCAACACACACCCTGTTCAAAATTAAAATGAGAAAATTGCTTTGTGAGTGAACCTCAGCATAATTAGTCTCCGTTTCCTTCCTATGACATGGTGCTTATGCACCAAATAGATTCTCCATCTCCACAGTGTCTATACTCACAAAGCCCTGCACCACAAACAGTTTTCTGAATGAGATTACTTAGCTACAGCTGGTAGTATTATGGAGAAACACAAGTTACAGAGCAGCATATGGATGGACCCAAGTCAGATTTTTAGTGGTGTCATTTCTGCCACTGACCTTTGTCACTTCGGTTTTTTGTTTTGTTTTGTTTTTTAACAAGGAGCTTTACAATAAATAAATGAAACCTTCCAACTGCTTCTACTTGAAAAATGTTATGGCTATGTCCTTCTGTAGGACCACTGGCTCTAGACTTAGGAACTAACCATGAGTACTAGATACAATTTACAGTGTAGTGGAAAATGTAGAAGAATGAGGATTTTAGTTAAGATCTAAAATGACCAGTAATTTTACCCCACAAAAGGATCCAGATCTACTGTCCTAATGGGCTTCATTTATTTGAAGTCCACCCTCTGTGGAATGAGCACAGCCAATCTGTAGTGATTACTGTTTATATGGTCTTTCTCTTCCTCCCTTCCCTTCCCTTCCCTCCCATTCCCTTCTCTTCCTCTTCCTCTTTCTCTTTTTTTTTTTTTCTCTTTTTTCAAGACAGAGTTACTCTGTGTAGTCCTGCCTGCCCTGGAACTCTCTTTGGTTTGTTTTGTTTGTTTGTTTGTTTGTATTTGTTTTGTTGTTGTTGTTGTTTTGAGACAGGTTTTCTCTGTGTAACAGCCCTAGCTGTCCTGGAACTCCCTTTGTAGACCAGGTTGCCCTCGAACTCGCAGAGATCCTCCTGCCTCTGCCTCCCAAGTCCTGGGTTTAAAGGCTTCCACCACCACACCTGGCATCTTTCTCTTTTTTTAACTTATTTTTTAAATAAGCTTATATTTTATAGATGTACTTCTTAAATCATGTGTCTTTGTCTGTGTGGGGACATGTACATGCAAGTGAAAATGCCTACAGGGGCCAGAAGAAAGCATGGGATCCCCGTGAAGTTGGAGTTACAGGTGTTTGTGAGCTGCTCATAGTGAGTGCTGGGATCTGAAAGCAGGTCCTCTGGAAGGACCAGAAGTGTTTATAACCACAGAGGCATGTTCCCAGTCCTTTCTGTGGGATTCCCTGGATAGGACTGCACTGCTTTGTGGGTACTGGTAATCAGATCTGGGTCCTCTGTAAGAATAACAAGTGTTCTTAAACAGTGAGCCATCTCTCAGCTAAGTATCATTATTTTGAGCAAATTTATTTGTGAGAAAAGTCTAGAAAAGCAAAATGAAAAGGGTGTATATCTGCATTCCACTCACTCTGTAACTGGCTCTGACTTGCTTTTTGTACTTCTGAGTTTCTGATCTATGTCATTTTCCTTTTATGTAAGACTCTCTGTTAACTATGTGGGGGTGGCAAGGAGACTAGCAATAGAGTTTCTGAAGTGTTCTGTTTATCTGAGAAAATATTTCTCCTTCTGTTTTGAAGGACAGCATCTCAGTGCTTTTTCCCAGCTCAGATGAGATCGGGCACTTTCAAGGTGCTATGGTTGTAGACAGTGGCTTTTTCTAACTAACTAAACTCCCCTCCGTTTTTTACAGGCTTTTATGGTTTCTGAGAAGCCTTTGTTCCGACATAATTAGATTACTTTTCCTTTGACTCTTTCCATGACTGTGCTAGTGAGAATATGATGTGCTGGACTGTGAGGGGGTTGTTTCTGTTTTATGTTTGTTCTGCCTGCTGTTCTCTGAACTGATGGCTTGCTTTGGGGCATTAGGAAATTCCAAGTCATTATTCCTTCAACTATTTCCTCTCTGTTCTTTTCTTCTTCTTCTTATGGGCTTTCCATTCTTGATACATTAAGCCTTTTGTACTTGTTGCACAACTTCCAGATAGTCTGTCCTGTTTTCCTCACTCCTTTTTCATTTTGTTTTGTTT